CTAAAAACTCATTGCTCAGTCCAAATCAGAACTTTATTTTACTAATGCAGCTGCATTACGTGGAATATAATAAATATCAGGAACAAATAAGAGTAGATGACTGATCAGAATTGTGAACAATCTTGATTGACATTTCACTATACAGTACAGTTGTTTGGTGGAATTTCTGTAGTATAGAATGTGATCGAAATGTATTATTTTCCACACACATTAGCCTGCACACACACAAACCAACACACACACACACACACGCACACAACAAACACTTGCACACTGCTGTTCAAACAAGGCAGTTACAATGTTTACAGCCATAAAATAAGACAAAGACAATATACTTACAACAATCCTTTCAAATTGAATATTCAACAAACATTCTTGTTAACATGCAGCCATTTTGCATCTTTGAATTAAAATAGGATCATGTCATTCCTTCATCCACCAAGACTTTAAAAAAAGAATGTTTACCCACTTACAAAAACGTGTTGATATCCAAGTTTTTTATTATGTTTAAATAAAGGTGTGTTTCTCATTCCATTCTGAAATGTGGGCTTTCCTGTTATCTAGTTGGTCTATATACAATACAAAGGCCACACTGTAAACAGGAAATAGGTTGTGTGTCACAAACTGCCACTAAATTCCCAATTGAGACACATTGTGAAAGCCCTGTATATATGTATAATATATATAATATAATATCTGAATATCGCGTTTTAAACAGAAAATGATAAATTCTGATATCTAAAAAGAATATGCATTTTGCAAGACCCGTATTAATCATGTTGTCAAGTCTGAGTAATACTAGAATATTTATATGCATGTAAAAGTACTGTTTGTTGGAGAAACGAAAAGTGAAAGAAGAATTTGTTTTAATCTAGTACATAGAATTCTAGCAGATACCATTCAGCATCATATCGTATCATAAACAGTAATCTTTATAAATCAGCTTCATTTAATTCAACTGTGGGCAAAAACAAAAAGGTGACACACACGACACCTCCTGTAAATTCAGATTTTACGCAGCCTGTGATTACATGTTCTACTAACATGCGTGACTGATTAAGTCACACTGATGCAGCATTCATCAGGGGCTGCGATCACTGGTGGCTGCAGCCACACAAGAATAAATGCAACTGATGGTGGGTTTATGAAATACAATTTCAGCAGTCACTTTTTATACTCCCATCTGTCAAGACTGTGCGCTCTAATCAAGATTATCTGTGGCAAAGATGTTACCTCAGGAAAACACTGGTTATTCAAATTTAATTAAGATACGTTGAATGCATTTCGTGTCAACCCATCCATTTCAAAAGTATTTTTATGAAATCAGTGATGTTCAAGGCCCAAGATAGACATTTTGTTTCATTGTAAACACGTAATATTATAAAATTAAGTAAAAGACAGCCCTAAAAAATACCAGTCTAAATAGTAAAAAGTTACACACCTCATTTTTCATTTGTCTTGTTGACTCAAATGACCTTACATAATTATGCAACCGTTATAAAGAGCCACTGAAAAGGATAATTGATCAACGCTTCTACTGCCTATTTGTCTGTCCCTCCACATTGAGAGCATGTAACAGTGTGGGCGTTTATTTGTGGTGGAGTCACAATATTGGGTAATAGAGAGGATAAGATCTGATGGCTCTCTTACCTTCTTGTCCGTGTCTGGGGGTCTATCCATACACTGAGAGGAAGAGTCACTTAAGCTTTGAGACCTACTACCACGGCCCCTGCTCCTTCGCTAAAAGGTAAAGAGGAACTCCAAGTTACTGGATGAAGTCCACAGAAAAGAGGCTAAAATTCGACAAAAAAAATCGAAGATATATTTATATAAATATATATTAAAATAACAAAACTTAAACTGAAAAAGGGTGACTGAACTTAAATTAACAGTCAAAAAACAGTATCATGAGCATTGGGTACAAAAATGGAGATTATATGAGCAAGCTTTTTGGTCACTCCAGCGTAACTAAAAAAGTATAGTGGCAATAGGTGTTCAAATAAAAATCATAGTTCAAATATAAAAAAGGCCATTCCTTTTGCAACCATCATTATAGCAGGAGTCATGCTTCGTGTTTTATAGTAATAATAAAACTCATTTGCAAAAACTCAGATCTAAAGAGGCATTGTGGGCCATGAGGGATCATGGCTACTGATCTCAAGCCAGATAGCTCTTACTTAATATCAGATTGTCATAGAGATAAAAACTACATTCCCAAATTACAGCCACATTTCCTTAAGGTATATACCATTTTTAGGAAAATCTCCATACACACGACCTTGGTTTTAAAAAATATCTTCATCCGGACGAGAACACTGACATTCAAACAAGCATGTCGGGCAAGTAGGTGGCGATAAAGTCAACTATCCATCAAACACCAGAGATTGTGAGAATGGTCAGTTGATTTTCCTTTTGCGGTTGTAACTTCAAAACAATAGTAAATATACATTTTCTACTTATATCTTTGCTTATTGTTATTTGATATGTTTCCTCATCCTATCTAAGACCTGATACAAAAAGCAACAGTGGGCATGCACGAGGTAAGCTGTGATGTAGTCGTTTCTCAAATGCTCCATCTTACATGTACAGACGTGAAAATCTGCATTTTGTTTTAGTGTCTTCAAAGAGAGTTGGCCTGTGGGCGAGAGGCCGACATGCAGAGGAAATTGTTCATTTTGCTAAATATCCACATTTGTGTAGACAGGGCAAGAGATCAGGGCTGAGGTTTAACCAGCCTCAATTCAAAAGTACAAAGCTGTCATCAGAAGTTGTGTTTCCTTTAGCATCTCATCATAACCCAACCACATGCACCATAGGATACAGCCTCCTCATTCCACCATCTGTAATCTACTAACCTCTTAAAATTTAAACCTGTGTTTTAAGTAAACACACATTAAAGAGTTGATGGTTTACCACTGAAAACCTCTGTGTAAAATTACAGAATATAATTCTACTTTACAGGACAAGCCTAAAAACTTGCTTTACAAGAACAGCTAATGACAAAACATTATGCAGCAAAGTTTGTGAAGCTACCTCACCCAGTCCATGTGATTGAAAATGTTAAACCAATACATCAATAGATTAATTTACACTTCTAAGAAATGGGGGAAAAGTATACTACATAGTATTGATGAATCTGAGCCAAATGGAGATTTGACTGTAGACAACAATGAACAAGGATAATCTAAGTTTGAAATTAGATTTGGCTACTGACTGAGTCCAGTCAAATACCATATGTTGCTAACATGCCGTAAACATCCATCAATTGGTATTTTATGAAACCCATTCTGCTAATAACATTGCATTCTTCGTCATTGATTCCCCCTCATACATTCCTGTCATCCATACAATCCCAGCTTAATGACATTATGCCCCAGCATCCAAAGCCATTCATACACGATCAATATAACAGCATGAGTCTTTCCATCTGAGTGTTAACATTGCAAAATGTCATCTCTCTGTTTGTGTGTGTGTGTGTGTGTTGACACTGTAAATTCTGTCCTGTTGTTTCCATCCTACCAATGATCCAGAAATCAAAATAGCTTGGTAAAGTTCTTGTTTTTCACATTTGCTTCCTTCCCCCAACTGATGTGTACACAGTGTACATATACGTATATTAAGAAAGATTGTTAACTTTTGGAAAGGTGAAACACCATCAACCTAATTTACAAATAGGTGGAAACATGTAGGTGGACGGTTGGGAGAGAACAGGGGGGTGGTCTGGTCCAGTGAGAGAGGAAGCAGAGGAGGATAAAGGAAATTTGGAAGATGACTCAAGAAGGGAGACAACCAAGAAAGAAGGAGAAAAATGGCAAGGAAAGAATGGTTTAGAATAAGGTGGAGAGGGGTGAAAGAGAAGAGCAGTGCTAAGGACAGGGATGAGAGCGACTGAAGGATGTAGAGACATCGGAAAAAGATGAGAAGTAATGATGGCAGGGTCTCTTAGTGGCAGCAGAGAAGTGCCAAGTTGTTAGTAAGATGAACAGTATTGTGTGTGTGTGTGTGTGTGTGTGTGTGTGTGTGTGTGTGTCAGTATCAGCACTTCCACTCCCCAGACTGTAAGGGACTTGGGTTTAGTGAATCAGGAGGTTGTTT